GTGTACAGTTCTATACATCTTACACAACAAATGTACTACATGGTGTACAGTTCTATACATCTTACACAACAAATGTACTACATGGTGTACAGTTCTATACATCTTACACAACAAATGTACTACATGGTGTACAGTTCTATACATCTTACACAACAAATGTACTACATGGTGTACAGTTCTATACATTTATACAATGTTGCATAGTGAGAATCTTTAAGAAAACGACAACAACAAAACTTGCAGACGACATTAACCACAATCAATCTGTAATAAATTTAGCACTTTTTACCAGATCTAAACGAAGGCAATATTGTGTAATGTTATAACTTATACCTACCTGAACAAAAAACCCTGTTAGAAGTCTGGAGTATCAATAGAGCAAGTATTTACACAACCCCCAAGATAGAGGACGTGACTTGCACACACCAAAAATAAATAAATAAAACTTATCTAGACAAATAAAAATCCAGCTTATAAAAGTTATCCAAGTGGGTAGAACTAGTTCGTACAGTAGAAATATAACAGAAAATTATAAACTCAAAAAGGAAAAACAAAAAACCAGTAACAGTTAAATACCTTCCTAATGGATTGCGTTATCACCTGAAAACACATACCTGTTTGTCGACAGGAGGCGCTGTGATGTTCTCCGTACATCCTCCCAACATAACCTGAGTAAAACAAAGTACCTATTAAGTCAGTCAGATAATGACGGGAATGTGGCCCTTTCACGAGATAAAGTGTACTTTATAGAGCTGATAAATTTTAAGGTTTAAGAATTACAAACACACATGCATGGACAAAAATGTTTATATAAATGAGTATATATACTCAAGTCGGACATTATAGAATATCTATACTCACCTGATGACCGAGATATACAGCCTGATCAGAGCAATTAATTACTTTGATCTAGTAAATTTAAACAAGTGTATTATTGTTCAAAATGATCAAGTAAGTTGATCAACTGAATCAATCGTCTTAGTCAAATCAAATAATTGAATATTTTAACCAGACTACTTTTATAATTCACACGAAAGGTATTTTATAATACTTGGTGAAAAGTTAATTGAAGAAAGTCAAATTACGTGATTACATTCGTAATAAGACATCCTACATTTTCTTTCCTTTTTTTTTCCTTCTTTATTCAACTTTTCTCTGAATATTTAAAAGTTTAAAAGAGAATATGTTTGATCATTTCCCGTAAATATAGATATGGTGAGTGCTAAAAGTTGCGTAATTGATCATAGAACGTAACGTACAGAACTGTAGAACGTACATATCGAAATCCACTTCAACGATCCATGCAGCAACAACCATATACAACTAATAATTTTCAAATCGTAGTTTTTTGTTTTTTTTTCATAAAAGTATTTTCACTCTGTAATCTTTATAAAGAAGTGAATCAAACAATGGAAAATGGCAAGTTTTAAACGATGATGATAATGATGCGTGAGCTGTTGTCTAGATCAAACCTCCCAAAAACCAAAACTTAAGACAAGTTAAGCTTATAGAACTTAACCTTTTCGCCTACTTTTCTAACAAACTAACTAGAAACCAGTAAATACTTACGATATTTTTTGAGAAAAATAAAAAACAAAACATTGGAAATATGAAAATGTGATTTAACAAAAATAAAAAGGCACAAAAAAACAATTAGGTTCATCACATAAGTAAGATATTTTTTAAATATTATTTTTATGCAACAAAAAGGAAGCACGAACCAGTATCGAAATTAAAACAAATAATTATGAAAGAGTCATATTTCTTTCCACCCAGTTTTATAGACGTATCTATAAAAAAAAAACAATTTTCACTGATATTTCAATATACAGCATATACTTAATGCTAGGAGAAAAAAAAGCATAGTTGAGAAAAGACAGCAGTTCTACTGCTACCAGTAAGTTCTTGTCTATATTTTTTGTCGTTTTTATGATATAAGGCCGAGATACTCCGTATGTGCTTTCTGTCTTCTTTTTTTTTTTTTTAACTTCATCTCGCTGAAAATACCCGACACCGATCGATCTTAGTGCCATGAAGCAGGGCAAGAAACAAACTTCTTGGCATACTTTTTTCTTACCAGAAAGTAGTTAAGATTAAGAATCCTTCATTCTTTTCATTTTTGTTGTTTATTCAATGCATTTTTATATGCAAGTTGCAGTGCAATAATAAAACAGGAAGGAAGCATTTGTAAAATGTTAAGTTTATAATTAAAATTTAATATATTTGTTAAAAGTATTACGACAATATAATGAATGCGATTACTACTGTTATAAAACACAACCTGAATGTCTGTGGTCGTGTTTCAAGTTTTAAAAAATCATCAAGCTTTGGCCCACCTAAATGTTGGAGTGGATTAAAATGTTTCATGCTTACCTTCACTATATTTTAAAAAGTAAATTAATTTTAATAAATAGTGATAAGAACAAAACATTTGATAACTGTGGCTCCGAATATTGGTACAGAATAAAGAAATGATTTTGTAGCACGCTTTATACATTGTTGCGTGTACAAACCAACCAGATCGTATACGGCGGAAGCCAACCTGTAGCCAAAAAAAAACATATAAATCATTTCGCACTCTGCGCACTTGGTCGGTATACTTCTGTCTTTAGCCTAATATTATACTTTAGGAATTGATCACAGAAATATACAATTTTCCCTCCTCCATAATCATTTTATTTTCGTGTACAATATATAGGAAAATGACAATTTTTTGAAGGGGTAAATACGGAAATAACGATGGGTTTGCTACACACATATTCCAACTTATTCCAATTCTACATTCCGAAGATTCATTAGTGTGTACGGAAACGAACAAAAACATGTAATGAGGATTGTCACAAGCTTGCAGCTGTAAGAAACGGATGGTTAAATTCAATTTAGATGAAGGTTCCGGTAAGACGGCCGAAATTTGTAATCATAGAAAAAGTATTGAACGTATGGAACAGTCCGTATTTATTTATTCCACACAATAATAGTATTCGAAAGCTTTCATCTTCTCATCTATCCCAGATGAATATAGACATAGTTTGTTTTGATTTTGGAAAAAAGCCATATTGAGTTATCTGCTGTGTCCACCGCGTGGAATCGAATCCCGGACTTTAGTGTTGCAAGTCCGTAGACTTACCACTGTTCCACCAGGCAGCATCATACAGACCATACCATACGGAGAAACGCATTCATATATATAGACAAGAGGTAAAACAGCTAGTTAACGTCACCCGCCACCAACTCTTTGACTACTTTAATTGAACAGTAGGATTTGACTGTTACTCTTATAACGCACCCACGGCCTTGGCCAAAGTGTGAAGCGTGATTTTGTGTCAACAGAACGCGAACCATAGACACTAAGATTCATAGTCCGGCACATTAATCACTAGGCCACGACCGGCCGATTTTTCTACAAGTACTGTAATTCAAATTACGTAATACATATTACATAAACAACATGTTATCATGCGTATACACTTACATTACCGAAAGTTGAATTTGGCTTAATTCATATTTCCAAATTTGTGGTAACTAAAAATAGGCATTACATTAAAATATAACATGTAATAAAATATTTTTAAAATACTCTAATACTATATTGTATTCAATAATAAACTTGACGTTTAGATATTTTGCAATGCTGAAACATTAATAAATGTCCTACATTTATTAACTCCTTACAAAAAATAAAGTATTCGCGGTATAAATGTAATATTGTTATTAAAATTGCGTAATGAAATCAATATATATATATATATTGAGACGATCCCTTATCTGCATTAGTTTCATATTCTATTACATTCATTAAAAAAGTTTTTAACATTAACAAAATATACAATGTGTACTAAAAATATAACTTGGACTTATGAGCACAGAACGCAATTTTAAAATTGAGAAACGTGTCTATTGTACAGCTATGTTCAAAGAAAGCACGAAACGTTCCATTTCTTAAAGGGGGAAAAAAGGTTTGCAACGATCTCAGAACCTCACCAAAGTTGTTTTTGTTGTTCCACAATATTGATTTGTATTCTTCGTCGCGCTCTGTCTGCTCACTTTAAATACAGTAAGCATATATATGTATACAATTTGAATACACAAACATATACGGTAGTGACACACCTATGCATGTTTTCGGCTCTACTACTTCAATTCAAGTTTACGAGCATTCGTAGAATATGCATTGTTCAACATCTGCAAAAGGTCGCCTGTAACTTTGACGCTTCACGAACCCCCTCGTCTAACCCTTTGATACCCTTGAGAAGAACAACAGCTAAAAATATAACAGGCAACTTGTACGGTGTGGACCGTTTCTTCTGATAACGGAAAGAAAAAAACGAACACGTTATCAATGCAGCTTGTAACTCTTTCTTACACAAGCCAGTCACTCAGCCAAACAGCTCAACGCGGGCACGAAATCATACACGTGCATACACGCATAACTTAATCTTTTCAAGCCACCATTTAGCCTGTGTTTTTTCGTCAACCCACCCACCCCGTGATTTAAGACTTAAATAGAAGGCACAACCCCAAGTGCCACGAACAAAGCACTAATTCTGCTCACGAACGTGCGATCCATCCACTAAACAGGTTCTTGCTGGCTAGGTTTTCAAAAAAAAAAATGATTATATATATATATATCCCCCTCCCCTCCATTTTCCTGTTTCTGTAGATAATAAAGTAAATGAAGCATTCTGATAATGCAACCAACATTAGGGCGAAACCAGGTGGACTAGTACAGGGAGTAGCAGCGAGTAAAGAAATTACGCAACGTAGTACGACTAAATTTACAACGTCTGTCCATGTTTAAACTAGTCCACAACGCTATATATATATATATATATA